TGGAAACTTGCTTTATTCGTATTTATCTAGTAAAGCATTTATTTTTCTTTTAAACAAAACAATTTTGTGTAATTAAAACCCATGTAGAATGCAACATTCCATAGTTAATCTACAAACTCTAAATTCCTTTTAATAAAGTTACCTCAAATTCAGCAAACATTCCTTCCAAGTTTTTTCATAATACTTTAAAGCCCGTCAAGATAAAGGAATAAAATTAGTTATTAATATTTGTTTAGTTTAATTTTACATCCCACTGAGATTTTTCTACTCATTATAAATTCATATTTTAATTTAACTTTTACCACATCCAAATTTAGTACGTTTTAATAACCAAAAATTAATTCGTTCCATTCTGACTTTGATACACAATCAATTTATTATTTTGTTAAACTTCAATAGCCATGAATATTTCATAAAAAAGGATCATGCTCGTAACAAATATATTTGGTATCGAGGGTATGAAAATCAAGATGGTGTGCTTAAAAGTTATATAACCTTGTCTTCGCAACTTGACTATAATTGCAGGAAGACCTAGAGCAACGCATCTTGTCCGGAGTTCAGAGTAGGCATGATAATTTTAAGAGTCGGACCGTGTATTTGATACATTTCTAGACTTTACCCGGAACCATAATCAGCATCTTCAGTGAACTTCGCCGTTCATAGCACCACACTACAAATTGTCAGAGACGAGTCTCTCGGAGAGTGTAACAAATCCGCGGTCCGACTTAGTAAATTATCATGCATACTATCTACTGCGGACAAGATGCATTCCTCTAGAGCTTCCTGCCAACATGACCAAGTTGCGAAACTAAGGACAAAATACTTCTATATTTGCTATAATTTATCTTGGTTAACTGGATTCTGCATTAATTTGTTGGTACCTTAAACCAGCTTTTAACGTATGGTTTCAAACTCTTACTCAATTTAAAATGTAATCGTTTGATATCTGAAAAATATAACCCATTTATGCCCCAAATAAATTACTTATATCTTGCTTGTTTTCTGGTAGAATGGTTAAAAACTTAGATATTGCTAAATGATGCAAGTTTGGAAAAAGGATATTTTACTTTAACCTAGGTGAAGCAAAATCACTTGCAAACTATTTTAGTAAGTTATCTTAGTCTTTTCATTCTTGCTAATCATCTCCGCCTTATTATATCAGCTATCAAAAGTAAAAAAATTAGAGCGAACTATATTAATAAATTAAATCCAAACTATTAGACTATTAAGGGTTTAATGATATTCCAAAATGCTTGGTACTTAGACAACTAAGAATATTTAATATTGTAATAATTCTTATTTTAAATTATTCAGCAGAAGTAAGTATCCTTAGATATTTGTTACATACAATCTATTGATAAGAAGGAATGCATGCATTTGAAGATTATTGTAAAAGTAGAAACATGCTAGTTTATTTTGCCTTTTTTAATACTGTTTAATACTCAGCATAAATTTGTCCGAGTCATCTCAATTCCAAATAATTTTATTCTTCACTCAATAATGAGAGGCGATTGTTCTGTTCTGGAATTTTTTTCATTTTATCTTAATAATTTTAGCTGTATTTATCCAAAAGGTTTTACTTCATTATATGAGGCACCTTTAGAGTACTTTGTCTTTTTCATAAAATCTTAAATTTGATTGGAATACTTTTTTTTTCAGACGCACGGTGTTTCCATACCTTTTATTATTCAGGATTGTAAAATATTTATACCTCTTCTCTTCTACTTTTTTTAAGGAATCTCATAAAATGCTTTGTGATGATGACGAATTGGAGCGCGAACTACAACGAGAAATAGAAGAGGAAGCTCGCGAAAGGACGCGTAATCAGTCCACTTCAGATTCTCCCGCATTTCCGACCGGGCTTGATAAGATGACACCCCAATCTGTAATATCTGCTTTGAATCACACAACTGACGCGTCCACCCCTAGCAAATCCACACAGCTGAATGAAGCTGTTCTTAGAACGACCTTGCTTCCAGAGTCAGAAAATTCCAAACTTTCTATCTCAAATAGGGGCAACATTTGGCAGGAAAATAACAATCAATCTCTTCCATACTATTCTGATACGTTAATAAGTAAAGCTGATTTGAATATAGAGCAGGTTTATTCACAGCAAAATTATGCTAGTCCAGGGCTCCCTGCTAATATTATTGACAATGAAAGCTTCCATAATCAGACACAAGAGATAATAGATGGCTCAAAATCAGATTTGATAAATCCGGTTTTGGATAAGGTAAGACTATATTTGAGTAAACTTAAATGTGATATTTCATTCCTTAACGCGATAATATCGGCATTATTCTTATAAAAGTTTTTAGACTTTTTCAATGTTATCAACAGAAATATTTCGTGCTATGTGCCTATTAATATATTTTACTCATTATAAACATAGATTTTAAGAGCATATAATCAAATATATGCAAATAATATGTTTGTTAACTTGAATTACTGACAATCTATTCGCCAGATTATAAGTGCGCAAAGAGAAAAAAATAGCATTGCATACTTCTTAAATTCTTATTGTAGACTTACTTATAGTATGGAAATACAATTAATATTAATATAGGCAAGCTTATTATTATTAGCATAAATGCTAGTTTCCATCAATGACATTTCCGTTACGATTGGGATTTGGAAGAGGCCGGATATGTTTTAAACTTAATATTTGCTCTGTAATTCACTAGAACCTTTGGAAGTGTAGCATAATAATAAAACGCTGCAAATATACTTTGCAATGCCTGGATTCGTTTTTCGTAGGAGATGCGGATGATTCCCATGTGAAGTAAAAACTGCAATCCATCCCTTTGGATAAAACATTTTTGTAAACGAATCTACTTTGAATTATTTTTCATCATTAGATCTATTTATAAAATTGAAAAAGAATTCAATCATCTGTCCATCAATTAATGTAAATTAGGGTTAATAAAAATATCATAGATATTTATTCCTTAATACTGTAAAGAGTATTTTGATCTGGCTATTAATTTTGAACCGTATCAATGAACAATGCATACTATGCCATGATTTTACTCAAAGGGATTTATTATTAGGAATTCTTAAGTGTTGCTAGCAAATTATTCTTACTATGGGTTCGCTTAGTTTTATTCGTTTTGTTTATCATTAAATGTATCTATATAAAAAGGGAAATTCTTCTCATAGCTTCCCTCTTGTCTGTCATCAACGTTTTATATTGGTTAGGAAACTATTAAGAAAGGTCTACATATATATTAATTGCTAAAGTTCCGTATCAAGAGTAGCATACCAGTTGCTGCTCCCTACAGTCGTCAGCAGAGGTTAGGCCGTAATAATTATC